AACGCTCTGAATGACTGAGCCGATCCCGAAGGGGTGGAATCATCTTGGGTTTTGCAGAGGCATGACTGAAAACTTTAAAAAGTACAGTGGCGAATTGCAACTAATTGTCAAGGGGCTGGGCGCACAGCCCACATGGGACTGGCTCCCCGTCCATTAGCACCTGCAGTGTCTTGGCTCTGTCTCGTGCATGTCTACAGCCCCAAGACGCCCCTTCTCGTTGTGCTTAAGGTGTGTCTGTAGAGCGGGGATAAGATTGAATTCAGTGCTGGTTCCAGACAAAGAAAACTGTCAGTCTCCAATGTCCAATACGCAAGACCGCACCTCCGCAGAAACACGGCCATCTTCCATTTTACGGAATGTCTCTTTGCTTGGCTGTGGCTGAGTACCGTCAATACAGGGGCCAACGTCTGTCACTTGCTCTCGCCCTCTGTATCAGTATGCCAGGCTGGCAATTCATTATGCAACCCTTTTTCAGACCGAGGAACGAGACCGTCCTTTGGATGGGCTCCAAAGCAATCATTTCACGAAGGCGGTTCCTTAGCTCTAGACCTCTTTTTCATTAAGCAAAGGGCTTGGGGGCAAGATTTATGATCCTTCACGGCTTGGAAGCATATTCCCCGAGCAGGCTAAGTGAGCAAACTTTCTTCAGATGTCTTGGAGCTGAAGAGCAGAAGCGCACCTAAGCCTTGATTGCATGTACCTTCTAGCGTACACTGGAAGGTTGCTGTCATAGCCCGGAGATCTCAGGACTGATACCCTAGGATTTTGGATAGCAGGACCTCTGACATCATCTGCCCACACACCCCAATTCTCTTGACAATGGGTTTGTTTCAGTTTCCTTACTAGTGGGGAGTGAAATGAATTTTCCCAGGAACACTATATTGTTGCAAGCCCACACCCCCAATTCTCTTGACACTGAGTTTGTTTCAGTTTCCTTACTAGCAGGGAGTGAATGAATTTTCGCAGGAACAGTATATTGTTGCAAGTTATCTCTGATGTATTCAAATGGGGAATCAAGATCCATTAACTTTACAAAAGACCTGTTTCTTATATGCTGACCCAGCTTGATTCAGGATAGGAGCCGACTCTTTTGGAGAAACATGATAATAGGCTGGCTGGAAAAGTCATTGTGAGGACTCTGTTAAGGGACCATGAAGTCAGAAGTATTACAGAGTATTTGAATGATTGGTCAAATTTCTCTAGCTGTGCAGCAGAAGTGCAGGCATTCACAGAGCAGAGTAGCTTCAGATCCCCCAGATTAGTCCACCCCTTTCTCTCATTAACTGGCACTTACAGTCTCAATAACTCACTCACCCTTACATTAGACTAAAGAGAGGAGGGGAAGGCTCAGAGTAGAGACGCGGGGCTCTCTTTGAATTCAGAGGCAAGAGGGAACTATTTGTTAGTGCTCTTCATAATTAACAGTCACTTAGCCCGGAAAAGTTCCTCCCAGCCACACGGACTAGAGACTGCATGCAAGGTTGCAGAACTCCAAAAAGAGACAATCGTAAGCCTTTTCTTCTCCTGCTTTCTTGAGTGCCCAATGTAGCACCTTATCTGGGGAGCAAATCCCTCTTGTTCATATAGACATAGTCAAGTTCCCCCAAGAGTGTCCCTTTGATATTGCACTGGCAAGCTTCAATATTGCCATTTTCAGTGGGTTTGCTTTGGCTATCTATCCATCCACTCTTTTGCACTGCCTTCTAACAACCCAAGACCCTGCACGGCTATTCCCAACAAGGCTGTGCTCCAGGATAGGTGTTCAGACTGAACGGGACCCTCTGATTTTCCACCAGTGCGATCCAATGAGCAACAGGACCAGTTAGAAAGCTAGGCTTTGCACTAAACCTTCTCCAGGCCTCCTGATCACATCTCCAAATTATTTCTCCCCCTCAGAAAAAGAATCCATTGTTTGCTTCCCTGTTTTGGCTTAATTTTTGCTGCCTTACAGCTTTGTTCCTTTTCTTCTCTGTTTTTCTTCTCTTCTTTTCTGTATTTTTGTCTACCATCATCTCTGTTATGCAGTGGGACCCCCCCCCAGCTGGTGAAACCTATGCCAGCTAATAAGTTGGACATGCTTTAAAAATCAAAACTGGGGCAGATGGAGGAGGTGAAAAAGCTATGTTTTCTGATTGGGACCCACGGTCATCTGGATTATGCAAATTTATCTGTGGTTGATTGGGAAGTGTGGGAAGTTGGGCATAACGGATTTTCTTTTGCCCCTCCCACCTTGGATCACCAGCTCCCATCTAGCTCTCCACCCCGGCTGTCTCCAGTTCCCATCGTTCTTCTTTACCATGGGGCGCGCTGGTGAGGGTCGACGCCAGCTGCAGTCAACATCCAGACCAGTGGTTCCCAACAGATGTTCTTGGACTAGTTTTTCCTGCCTTACAGTTCCCATCATTCTTCTTTACCATGGGGCGCGCTTGGTGAGGGTTGACGCCAGCTGCAGTCAACATCCAGATCGGTGGTTCCCAACAGATGTTCTTGGACTACAACTCCCAGAAATCCTGGCCAGGCCAGCTAGTGGTGAAGGTTTCTAAGAGCTGTAGCCCAAGAACACCTGGGTTGGGAAACCACTGATCCAGAAGGGCCTCGTTTTGGGGAAGGCGGCTCTAACCATTCCACCTCACTGCCTTTCAAGGATCAAACCCTCAAGGGCAGCCTTATTGCAGCCGATCCTTTATTATTATTATTATTATTATTTTAGTGGCTTCTTGAATTGCCTTGCAGGGGACACGATGGTACCGCTTCTTAATTGTGCTGAAGCACCAACACGCTTCATTTTCACTGTGCGTTCAGACTCCAGAAACACTTCGCCTGGGCTTGCCTGTGATGGAACCCAGGGTAGTTCATTATGGATGCTGGGAGCGACCCCCCAGTGTTTCAGGGGAAAGAAGACATGGCAGTGCCATTTAAGCGGGGAAGGGCTAGCTAGCTAAGGGCCATTTCCTAGAAACCGGGAGACTAATGGAAAGAAGCCAGGCCGTGTGTCATGACTCCAGCAGAATTTTAAAAAGGGAAAGCTGGTCCATTTGTTTCCAGCTGGGGAGGAATCTGGGACAAGATTGGAAAAAAAAAAAAAAGGAGGGGAAAGGAAACAGCAGAAGATCTGTAGGGGATTTTCATGCATGAGCCACTTACTGCTGAAGAATCCCAAATGAGGAGAATCGTGTATATCAACGGATGCATCACTCGCTCGCTCCTCCTCGTGATCATAAGCTTGTCCTGCCTTTTGCATATGGATTCAGCAGATTCAGGTTTGCTAAATTTGTATTCCATTGTGAATGGAGGAAGCTCACAGGGAAACAGCCTCTCCCCAGGAAGAACAGCTGATACCACCTGCAAAGGGTTAAAGCCAGGTTGCTAGGGCTCATTTTAATTGGTATAGTAAATCAGCATGGGCTTCTGTTTATTTAGCTTCTGGCTGGTTGATTTTGACTTTGTGGTTTGTTTGTTAGGTATCAAATCTGAATTATTTCCCTGGAATTGTGAATGTGTCATGTCTTGCTAGCAACTGGTATGACAAGTCACGCCTAGCAATTTCTGCCTCTTGCAGGCAATATATAGCCATTGTGGTTAGGCAGGGACTTTCAGAGCAGAATTAGCTTCAATCACGCCTAGCAATTTCTGCCTCTCGCAGGCAATATATAGCCATTGTGGCTAGGCAGGGACTTTCACAGCAGAATTAGCTTCAAGTCTCCCCACAGTAGTGTCAGCTGTCTCATCAGCTGACACTTACGGTCTCAGTAACTTACTCTGAGACATTGGTAAGAGAAAGAATAAAAAGGGTTTCATGTACTCACAGTCGAACAGCTCAAACAGCGGGCTGTACAAAAATGACTGCTTACAGGAACGGGCCTCAACAGACTCCAGAAGAATTCTGCAAGACTACATTCTCATAACTGCACTAATTACTAACTGCCAGCAAACTAAAAAGAGAAGGGGGAAATGTCAGAGCAGAGAGGCAAGGTTCTCTTTAAAACCAGAAGCGGGGAAGGAATAATTGGTTACTGCTGGACTGAGTGACAGTTGTCTCAGCCCAGAAACAACTAGGGAGAGGGTGTTCCCCCGTGAGCTTCCTAGCCAAGCCTAGTAAAGGCAGCATGCGAGGTTGAGATAACTCCAACATAATCTTCATCAGGGTCATGCATGGGTTCCTCTCTGGTTCAGAGGTCCGTTTGGGACTTTGGGATGAAGTCCCAATTAGGCCTATGGTGATCTGGGTCCCACTCCATTCAACATGCGCTGCAGATCCAGGATGATTCATAAATCAACCACCAGCTCTCCTGACTGCATGCATTGGAAAACTAAAAGAGGTATAACTCTTTTTCACCGTTGCCACTGATGTATGTGAGCTTTGGACCCCAGAGAAGGATACAAAGCCTGTTTCCAATAAATGTCAGCATGGTAAGGAGAAGGAGCCTGATGGGTCTCCTAAGGGAGGGCATTCCACAGCTCTTATATTATCTTTGGAAAGATGCTATGGCTAGAAACCAGGCGTCTGTTCTCACATAACGGTGAGACAGTAAGTAGAATCTGACCTACGGCTGGTTTTTGCTGCAGAAGCAGTCTTAAATGGAAATTCCTCAAATCCCAAACCATTTAGGGCTGTAAACCCTGCATTTTCTGCTAAGCCTGGAAATGGATAAGAGCCAACGTTGTTATAAGATCGGGGAAATGCACTTTCCTCTCTGAGTTCTAATTATTTTGCCACCATTAACTTTTGTTTACCCAAGCTGTTTTGCTGTGCATGACCTCCTTAGGGTTTTTGACTCACACATTTCCCTGCCTGCTTCTTCGAAATACAATATATTCAAAGATGCTGAGATGCGGAGGAGAACTTTCCACAGTGCCACTTGGGGATCGTCACACAGATGGCGGTTAATGTTTGTCAAGTTTGGAGAAAAATCACATGCTCGCGATCTTCTTGCTCGGCGATTTGGAAGAGAGGGGGAGAGACTCTTGCATGCATTTAGTTTTCTTCTTCTTTTTTCCAGGTCTAGCCAAACCGATGGGATTGGTTGAAGGTCCTGGAGGATTGGGGCAAGGCGGAATGGCTGCCACCCTGAGAGATGACAGCCATGAATCTGAAACCAAATATGAAGAATATGGATATAACGCCCAGCTAAGTGATAGGATTTCACTTGACAGATCTATTCCTGACTACAGGCCCAAAAAGTAAGTATACTCTCTGTCTTCTCACTAGTATTTGAAGTGATTGCCTTTCCCACGCTCTCTTCACCATCATCCTAAAGGGGGGAGGGCAGCAGGAGACACATTAGTGTTGGAGAGACACAATTAGGGGAGACATTTGTGCCTGAGAAGCCAGTCTCCCAAGGAGTCTCGCGACTGAGTCCTGAGGACCAACTACAAAACAAAGCAAGCTGAATTGAAAATTATGGGAAGGATAAAAAATTGTGCCCTCGGATGATACTTCCAGCGGTTTCGTCAACCACAGTTTTAGCAGTTAAGGAGTTCCTTGTTCTTACCACTGATGATCCAGTAGCATTTCTTTCTGTCTTTCATGAAAGGTAATGTTTGAATAACCAAGCAACTGGCAATGCCTATGGGAATCTGTGCCACATGTTTAACCAGACACCCAGTTACTCACTGTTAAGTTATCCAAGTCAGTCAACCCTTGGAATGTAGTCCGATCCTGTAGCATTTCTTTCTGTCTTTCCTGAAAGGTAATGTTTGAAATAACCAAGCAACTGGCAATGCCTCTGGGAAGCTGTGCCACATGTTTAACCAGATACCCAGTTACTCACTGTTAAGTTTTCCAAGTCAGTCAACCCTTGGAATGTAGTCAAAAGTCATGATCGTTGCCTGTTTTTTCTAGGATGAGAATCAGCGTGGAACTCTAGAGGCCCTTATGTCTGGCTTTTAGGCTCCTCATACTTGCAGCAACAAGATGCTGGCCTACGTAGATGGCCCTATGGTTTGATACTAATCTGATTCTTACGTTGTGTCTGTTGGGACACAAACAAGTAGTGTTGGTAGCTTTATTTCAGTGGAGACCTGGAAATGCTTTCTGGATCCATGATGGTGGAACTTACAGTATGGGAGAAACTGGATGGACAGTTATGTGGACCAGAAATGGGAAGTTCTGAGGCAATTGAATTTGAACCTCTTATGTTTCGACCTCAAAGCCTCTTCAAGAATGGAAAGAAACAGGGGTGTTATATCCAAGCAGTGGTTTCTTTCCATTCCTGAAGAGGCTTCAAGGTCAAAATGGGAGAGGTTCAGATTCAACTGCTCATGCCAAGTTCGGGGGGTTCACTGAATAAATTGGTGAATTTGTTCAATACTGGGTACCCCGTGTAATGTAGTGGATAATGGACTAGAGACCTGACTTTGATTCCCTGGTTCTGCCAAAAAAACTCACTGGGCTGACTGTGGAATTCCTTAAATACCTTAAATAACTCCCTTAAGTTGAAAACCTTGTTTGGGTCACTATAAGTCCATTTTGACTTGACAACACATAACAACAACAACTCTTACCGTTCAGATATAGTGTCTTGGATAGAGATACAGACTGGGAGACATAAGGTCGAATTTCTGCTCAGCCATGGCAACGCACAGATGTGTGCGTGTGTGAAAACTGGTAAAACCACTCTTTCAATATCTCACTTACCTTGAAAGCCCAATTAGGTTTGCTGTAAGTCAGTTTCAACTTGACAGCACATAAAGCACACCACAAGTCAACACTTAGTTAAATCCCATTGGCTCAGTGAGTCTCCTCTAGTTTGGATGAGCAGCTGGTGTAAGTGCATTAAATAAATAACACAGTCAGGTCAGCAGCTGGTGTAAATGCAGTCAATAAATAAATAAACCCACCCACCAACCTTGTCTGTTGATGTCTCTGAAATGAATGCATGTGCTGTATTTTTCCATGTATAAGACTATACTTTTGTCTAAAATCTCTAGACTAAAAATTGAGGGTCGTCTTATACACAGAAGTAAGCAGAGGAGAGAAAAAAAACAAGTGGAGGAGAAAGCAGGGATCAAAGTGATCCTGCAGCGCTTTGATCCCTTTCCCCCTGCACTTGCTGAGCCCCACTTAGATTTCTTAATTTTGGATTAGAAAAGTGGGGGCGTCTTATACATGGGGACGTCTTATACACGGAAAAAGACAGTAACTTAGCATGAGCTTTCAGGAGGCAGAAGTCCCTTGATGAGATGTATGGTTTAGCCATCCTGCATTGGTGTTGAGTAGGTGGAGGGGAAATAGTGTCAAGTGAGAAAAGAGGCTCAGACAGTGTGGAAGATCTGTTTCCCGTTATAGGGAAGAGCAGAAAAAGTTCCTTTTTAAGGTAAGTGGCAAGTGTGGCAAACTGGGCTTGCTTCAGATTCAGAACTTGTACTTGTTGAGTCAAAATCCATAGAAACTAAGTCTGAGATCCAGTAGAAAATTCCAGTGGAGCAGGGGTGGGGGAGTCATAGGAGGTGATGGAATCGGTGACAAAAGGAAGTAGAAGTGATGGGATTTCAAAGCCCACCACCATGGATCTTTTACACCGATGGGGGATGATGAGGCTCGGAGTTGGCAAATGTTTGAAGGACCACACATTCCCCCTTCCTACAATAACGGAACAGAGGTAGGAGAATCTTGAATCCTTGCTAAAGGCTGTGGCAAAATGCATGGAAGGACGGATTGTTTGATACAGTCCTTGAAAAAGATTGCACAAGGATATCTGAAGCACCAGTTAGGGCTGGGATTTTGGAGGTGTTATGGGTTATAGATCCCATCATTCCCCATCCTACCTGGCAGGCACTTCACAAATACCTGAATGTGGCTCACCTGGGAGAAAGGCCTGAATTAGAAGTCTTTGAGCCTTACCTAGGCCTAGTTCCACCTAAGCTTCCTACTCCGAAAGAAAGCTCCCAGCTAGCACTGGGGCAGGAACAGGAAGCTTGAGTGGGGCTAGGCCTGGCTCAGCCTCAAACCCTTCCTGTTAAGGCCTTGCTCCCAGGTGCAAAAGTCTGTTTCCCCTGATGCCTTGGCATAATGGTTCCCCCACCCAAAAAAAGTGAAATCCTGTTGTGCAGACCAACAGCTTAACGGCATACCTGGCCTTTGGAACAACATAATCCAACAAGAACAGTAGACGCCCTTCTTGCATGCTGCTTAACTAGGTCCAAAATGGACAGTGAAGGCTCCTGATTCAGATCCTACCTGTTTTTGAATGAAACTGATACTGCACCAAGAAATCATTGTTGGTTACCATGGTATCCCTTAGTGCCTCTCCCAACACATGGGATTTAGAAGTTGGATTTATCCCATGATTTAGCTTCAAAGCATGGAAAAGTTCCTTTTTCAGTAACTTGACCCATCTATCTATCTATCTATCTATCTATCTATCTATCTATCTATCTATCTATCTATCTATCTATCTATCTATCTATCTATCTATCTATCTATCTATCTATCTATCTATCTATCTATCTATCTA